AGAATTGGATACCGATGCTCGTTTGTTTATATCGGCGCCCATGGTTACTCGACGACCGCGAGCGCATGCCGCAGTGGATGCTTACCGTTGGTAATGGCGGTAAGGCTCCGCATACCTTCAGACTAGTGACAACTGTTCTGGATGTCTCCCAGCACCGTGACTTCTGAGTGAGGACGCGTACGTATACTACAAACTGTCAATAGCGCCTGCACAACAGTGCATGCCGAAATCATACATAATAACAGACGTTTATTTATTATATATAATACATTGCTTTTTATATAATAATATATTATATATATCAATATATTATAATATATATAATATATATATATATAATATAATAATAAATAATATATAATATATATATAATATGATAATATATATAATATATATAATATATATAATCATATATCTTATAACAGACATGACGTTAACCGGAAATGTGCGTGTGGCGTGCGTGCGTGCGTGCCTGCATAACTAGCATGTTTGCATTCGCAGGTAGTGAGTTTCTTATGTTATATGCACGCTGTCGCCGGTTTCCGCATGCGGTCTCAGCGTCGTCTGGCTTCAACATCTCTGTGCTTCCCAGCGCACGCGTCATGGCTATTTACGGCACACTTATACCTCGTAGCAATTAAGTTATCATCCCTATAGCCTGCCGTTAGTCATTTGCATGTTGATCCCGTGTCAACATATTATGTCAGTTGTATAATACTATTATAGATATATATACTATATATATATATATATATATATATATATATGAAGAATATCAAAGATATTACAGACAATAATAATGGTGTAGATATAGTTATATTATAACCCCTGATATTATTGTGTAGTTCCATAATCATCATGCTTCAAATAGTCCTAGTCATCATCATTTACGATGAATATGTTCCCGTCTATAATTTAAATCATGGCCTATATATTGAGACCATCAAGTTATATTGGTATTCATAATCAAGGAAATGAATTTATTGATCACTAAAACTTGATGGACGTGACTATGTTGTTAAAATCAAGATTAGTATTATATAAATTCCGGACTGCGTGATTTGAAATTGAGCTGAAGAGGTAAACTTACCACATATATAATAATATATATATTATATTGATATATATAATCTATATATCAGATAATTTAGGCTGGTTCGAGTAGGTTGTTAAGGTTCATCAGTCGGTTCTTGCACTGCTGATGATGACTTT